TGACAAAAAAAAAAAAAAAAAAAAAAAAAAAAAAAAAAAGGTGAAGGTATTTTCCGATAAGGAGAAATAAATCTTAGCGTTTGAACTGAGTGGGACCGACTTTGGTCTTTCATTTTCCCAAGTTAAATATTGCATTTGTAGTAAGTTTCTGAACCTGTGACTTAAAGTAATTGTGAGGTCAAGAAACATCCACTGAACAACAAATTCTTATTTCCTCCAGGCAGCTAAATGCGGAAGTGCAGGGAGGAGATTAAAAAAAAACTAGTTCCACAGGAGCAGTGTGGAAATTTCACCCCGCGGAACACTCCTGAGCCGAGCAGTCTGGAGGCACAGGAAACCATACAGATTATAAAGCGCATTACGCGGGGGTCGCGGACAAGGCGCCCAATGTTTTCAAAGTCAGAATTGTTTACATTGCTCATACCTACCACGGAAAATTTACATAACTTTTTCTCGTAAGGATAGGTAACAGATTTTTAAATATTCCACCGAGGTTTCGCCTTACGGCAACTAAGCCGATCTCTCTACCGACCAAGGAAAAGTCAGTGCGGGGGACCAACCCCGAGCACTATCTAATCTCTGCGAATCGGTAACAGACTCCCCCTGACAGACGGCAAGAGAGCACAACACGCACAGAGCAGTCGGAGCGGTCCTTCCCCCTTGATCTAGATCACTTACACCCACAAACACAAGACAACATCTGGATACTGTTTCACAGGCAAGAATAAAGCACTTTTCTTTTTTTTGCCCCATCATTAAGCAAAAACCCGTTTTCCACATGCAAACAGCACTTGTAAACTCCCCCAGATAAGCTTGGCCGTCTTGAATGGTTGCAGCGCGTTTGCTAAGAATCCCGGTTTTCCTTACCTTGGGCAGGGAAGGGTTTCAGGGGTGTCTCCCCCGCTCTGCCGGCCCCGGCTCTGACACCCCCTGCCTCTTACCTGCGAGCACCGCGAGACAGGCTCCTGGCTCGAGGTGAGCGGCTGTCGGGGCAAGGACAGGATCCGTCCATGCAGGTCGCCTTGGGAAAGCTAGGTGCTTAGGTTCCCTCCGAATGGAGAAAACTCTCTCCCTGCTCGCTGTCAGTCAAAAACGAGTTGGTACAAGCTTGAGTAGGATTTACCTGAAGGAGCTGAAGAGAGAAAGAAAGAGATTGGAAGAGACTGGGCGGAGGGAGGGAGGGCCTGGAAAGGAGGGAGGGAGGGAAGGAGAGAAAGTGAGGGGGAGAGAGGGAGAGAGAGAGAGAGGAGAGTCCACGATGTCAGCAATGTGTCTTAAGGAAACCTACAGACCCGCAGAGAATTCTAATGGACCCCAGTTTTGAGCTTTGCAGACACCTGTATAAAGGAACACTCATGCCCTTTGAAAGAATGCCAGTTACTCTTTGAAGAAACTTCAGCCACTCTTCTCAAAGCCTTTTTAAGGTCCCTTTGCCTAAATAAACTATAAATAAATAACCAGATTATTTTTTCTAACTAACCCTCCTTTACCCCAAGTTCTCTCTCCCTTTCTGCTCTCCCCCCTCCGAATGAACAGTAACGGTTATCCCTGCCCCCAGGAAGAATCAGACAAACCCATGCAGATCATAGGTACGTCAAAGGCATATCAACAAAGTGCCTCAGGGGAGGACCCGGTGTTCTTTGCTCAGTCCCCTCGTGGCCATGCTGATTTTCCCTGTAGCCTGTTTTCCTCAATCAGAAAGTGTCAAGAAGTTGACAAATGTGGGGAACACCGGGCTCTTCTGGACCTTAGAAGCTGGGATGGGGCACCCGTGTTGGAATCTGGTGTCCAGGATTTATGCACGGAGTCGGGCGCTTTTATGAGAAATGGGCAGAATGCCATCCTCAAAGCAGAGTCCAATGGGACCTCTCGCAGTCTCTGGAAACAAGGCAGCGAACTTCCTCCTCGAATGCTGTTGAGTGGCCTCTTTGTGCCAGGCGGCTTCTTGCAGCCATTGTGCCAGTCCAAGCCCCATGTGGGCCACCAACCTTCCCACGGCCAGAGAGGACAGAGACCCCGAAAAGCTCTAAAAGAGAGGATGACCTTCCCACAGGCACTTTCTTCAGCCAGATCCCCTGGCCTGGCCCAAGGTCAACCCCAAGTGGAGCAAAGTCTCTCTGTCACTAAGGAGCCAGCTGATGAGACACACACATGTCCCCTGCACAGGCACCTGGGCCAGGTAGACAAGGCTGCTTTAAATTAGAGGGACCAGCAGGTGACATGGTTTATTGGAAGCAGAGGACATGTCCCCTCCCCTGAGTGCTGGGGTCTGGGGAGGGAGGGTGAGGCCCCCTCATTTCTCCTCCCCTCTCCCTTGACGCGAGGCCCCGCCTGACCTAGGTCATTCCTTTCCTGTTTCCCCGGTGGGAACGGTGTGTCGGTGTCCTTTCCTTTTACTCTCCTCTGTCCCATGAAGCAAGGGTTTCCTCTTCAGCCTGGGAGGACACGGTGACCCCTCAGCACGCTGGCCGTCCAGAGGCTCGGGGCTGGAGAGATGGAAGAAGCCACACAAGGCTCGGGCTCTTCAGGCTGCTGGTCCTTCTCCAGAGCTGTCGAGTCAGATAGGCCTCAGAGGAGGAGATGGGGAAGGTCCCCTGTAAAACAGGCCAACAGAGGTGGAGGGAGACAAAGAGGGAGAGCCCAGCGTTCAAAACCTGATCCTATCCCGCCTCAGACGGTTTCACAGGCTGTTCCCTCTGCCCGGAGCAGCCTCAGATCTTCATTCTGCCATCTGGTCCGTTGTCACTGCTCAGGTCTTAGCCCAAATGGTACCTGCTCTGGGACATCTTTTGTAAGGTCCTCACCTTATGCGATCCCAATCCAACTCTGTGTCTCAACATTCCCTTCTACTTTGAATGCCACTTAGCGCTGTCTAAATTGTCCCAACTTGGCTCTTTACCATGCACGATGTGTTCTATTTCAGGGCCCTGCCCCACCTGTCTGGTTCACTGTGTGTCCCTTGGGGGACACCCAACATGTGATAGTCTCTCAAAAAAGTGCGTGTCAAGTACATTGAGAAAAGGTTATAAATGGAGGCTATGATTTGTTACTACGGTTGAACTTTAATTCTTATCTTAGTTTTAATTAATATTTGCAGTCTTCCCTTTAATTAGTAAACTAACACTTGAGTCCTCTCCTTCCACTTATAGAGCTCTTTCAGTAATGCTATTAATTTGATGCTCAGGCCCAAAAGGCACGATCAGCTGCATTTTAAGGAAGAAGAAGTGAAAACCAGAGAGGGCAAGCGGTTTGCTCAAGTTCACAGAGCTAGAACGAGGTGGGCTGAGGCTCAAAACAGCTCTTCTCACTCGCAGACCATGCATTTTTCATTAGGCCACATTTTTCTCAAATTAGTCTACTGCTGGCATACATATGCATGTGTAGATTCCTTTGAGTATCAAGTCATACACGACATGAATTATAATACTCTGGTAAGTTTTAGTTCTTTCAGGACCATGCATAGTAGAGCTCACATCCATTCGTAACAGTCTTCACAGTGACGAAAGAAGAAAATTAGTCCCAAGGAGTATGAATTCATGAAAGAATTTAAATGTTAAGCCAATATTCCTCATTTTGGTGACGTTTAACTATTTTCAGTCTTCTTCATTTGGAGATATTCAACAGTTAGATATTGAGGCTGCTGATGCAACAGGATTCACAAAAGGAGGTCAGGCATTACAAATGTGTGACTGAAATGTGGAGAAGTGAGTGGGAAAGTTCTAGAATGAGTATCTATACATCTGTGAGATTTCTGTCACTGAGGACAGACTTTGTTTTACATGTTTTAATAATGGAATGATCTAAGTATTTCTGGAAATTTCTGAGGCTCATGAGGGAAATAGGACAAACGATTAATCTGAACAAAAAATATTGTGTCACTCAGTCTTGAACTCGTTCACTTTGCAGCCTGATTCTAAGGAGTAGGGTCTGGAATCCACCATATAAGTTTACTTCAAATAGCACAGTTCATCATTTTGTAATGGAAGATGGTCAATGTTGTTGGTCTTGTAGCCTAAAATAAAAAACAAGCATGAATGACTACTCAATAAATTTCCCTCCTTCTTTCCTTTTTTTCTTCCCAGTTAATGGAAAGAAAATTCTTGCACTTGTCAAATTGAAATATAATATATATCTAAAGTCTGGATTTTTACCCAAAGTTCTAAAATGATGTCTGAAAACTGGGCAGAAAAGATGACAGGAACTAGCTTTTTCAAGGGAGCCATTTCCCAAGAATAATTTCCAAAAAAGAAAAAAAAAGGCTGTAGTGCATCCAATCCCATCTTGGCTTGAATCGAGGCATAAAAAGCTTTGAAGTGTGATGAGAGGGAATAAAAATACATTTTTACCTTTGAATAGATCTACTTAAGTTCGGTTAGATATAGAACTATTTGGGGGGGGGGGAATGTCAGTTTTTAAAACTTTATCAAAGCCTCCTATGACCCTCACCAACTTAAAAAGTCCTCCACAGGCCAGGCAGGATTTGGTCATGTGCCTGCAGTTTGCTCCCACCATCCCTGTCCTGGAGGTATGTAAAATGTCCCCTTGGAACATAAGTGAGCCATGGAGAACAGAGGATGTCCATTTCAATCCTATCAAGACCCTGCAGGCCAGAGACGGGGACCTGCCTGCCTTTGGTCTGACCAGACAGAACCTTATCTTAGGAAGCCACAAAGTTGAAATCTCCTCTTGGAGTAGGTGTTCTAGAAGCAGATGTTGAGACAAACATTCATGTGCAATTAATTAAAGAAGTGCTCCTGGGAAGGATTCGGAGAAAAGTAGGGGAAGCAAGTCAGGGAGAGAGGAAGTCAAGAAAGAGTGTGGTTTTAGGCCAAGGCCATTCCCTGCCTGATTCTGGAGAGAGTTCTGGAGTGAAAAATAGCATTTTAGGTAAGGGAGTTGGGCTTTTGCTCTTGGCCAGTCAGCCTTTGCTAAGAGTAGAAGGGGTGATGGGCATACGATCTCCCAAGTGCTCTGGCTTTCTGCATCTGCCTTAGGCAGCCTTAAGGAGCTGCTAGTAGGGGCTGCAGGCCATCAGAAGTAATACACGTGGTAGCACAGAAATGGGCACCAGCCCCCAGAAGTGGCGAAGGGGATCCCAGGGAATCTGAGCGGATCACCAATAGCATTGGCTACAGTCGCTAATCCTGTGAGGGCTGGAATGATTCCTTTCCTCATTGTGGCCCCTCACTCCCTCAACACCCCCACCCTCTTCCTCCACTGCATCACATTCCCAATCAAACTAAAATTGGGAATCTCGGCACCAAATTTTGGAATTTGATGTAAGATGCACATGCTCAGTCTTATGGCGCCATTTAAATGGCCCCTCTCCCCTTAGCTCCTTCCTCCCCCCACCCAACAGCTCCCCCACCCCACATCCCTCTTCGCGGTGGGCTCTGAGCAAGAGGGAAACTTTCACTAACAGTTATGTTCAGAGAGAAAGCAAAGAGAGTCACAGGGGTGAGGTGAGAGCTCAAAGGAACCTAGAGATCGCCAGGCCGAGATTTTTATGTTTCTGTTTAAGACACTGAAGACCAGAGAGTGGCTTTCCCCGTGGCCACAGGGCCTGGACCTCGGGATCTACATAGAGCAATACCTCACCCAAGGCTCTCACACGCCACGCTGTCCTATGCCAGTCCCTGCGTTTACACGTTTGTACGCACATGAGTTACTCAAGTGGCAGAAACCTACAGTCAAGTTTCATTGGTGTAGAAAGAGCTGCGGGTGTCCGTTTGGGGCTGTCAGAATGCGACAAACCGCTGCTCTGCTCACTCTCTCCCTTGGGCTTGGCTGAGGGGCTCCGAGGCTGAATCTGATAAAGTTTGAGTAGAACAATAACAATAATTACTCCAGTGACTCAAGCCCGAGAAGCCTGGTAGTGGCTACTGCACCAGATTAGGCTGGAAGCAGAAAAGTGTCCCAGGCATTTAACTCAAAGTGGAAGCAGATGCCGCCAGCCCCGTCCCCAGAGCTCCCGGTGCTTGAATTCTCTCCCTCTTTGCTCCTTCCCATAGGAAGCCTTATGGCCCAAGCAAGATCCCTGCTGCGTTAACC